TGCATTGCCATTTCTGCTCGATTTTTGGTATTTTGGCCAAGTGGTTCCGCTAACTAAGCGTCAAGGTGTACAGATGATTTGATATTGCTCAGAAACCATCAAATAGCCAATGCCTGTCCACTGAACGAAGAATGAAGTAAGCAAAAATATTCAATGCTGAGTGACAAAACACTCTCAGTGACAAAAACACTCTCGTAAAGTGGCAAGAGGGGTGCATTCAACTTTCCTTTTCGTCGAGCAAAGTTCATCAGCTCCAGCCTCTGGTGTTCACATTTCACAACTTTCAAATGAACAATCCAGAACAATCCAGAACAATCCTTAGAAGGCGTTGGATGAATATTACAACATTACAATATGTCTGTCCACTTGGCCATATGACATTACTGAAATACTGACCAGTAACATTTGTTATCCCAACTTATTCATTTAGCTATATAATGTGTGTAAAAGCGAACAGGTTTACGAAACAATCAACATACTCGATTAAAATCCTCCTTCACAATGTGTTTGCTAACACACTTGTATAAATCTCTTTTCTGTATTCTTTTCACGATGTCACTTGCATCTTTCAGTGCTGCGTCTGTAATTGATATTATTCATAAAGATCACGCGGATAAATCGAAAAGTAGAAACATGGATTATCGTTCAGAATAAACAAATTTTCACAACTTTTGGCAGGCATATTGCTCTTGTGGAGTCTGTCAGCTAAGATGAACTGTACTGAGAAACTAATGCCAATAAATATTTACTGCAGCATCTACGTTTACAGTCTTGATTAAATTCAGCAGCACATTTCTGCAAGCTGAATACGAAGGCAAGTCATGCCCATGTGGTCGGTATGATTTTGCGTGTGTATACGTTTGTAAAAGTACTGTTCTTGACTTCCGTGGCCTTAAGTCAAACCTAGTTTATATCTCTTCAGTGTATTTGGCTATTCTCAAATATGACAATCGCTTTACACACGTCAGTGTCTCTGAACCCAGTGCCTTCTTAATGAACCCTTGTTCACAACTGTGTTTGTAAATTGGAAACAACTAAGTCTTATCACTATTTGGCTAGATATTACATTTCTTTAATGTATGTGTGAACAACCAGTCAGGACACAATGATGTATGGTATTCACCAGAGTCTTGGGAACTCGTCCCGAGTGTCACAGGGAGATCCACCAGTTGAAGGGATGCTGTCATTCAGCTGGGAATAGGCCGCCATGTCATCAATACATTCGGATATTTTACTGCTGCAAAAAATAACAAACTTCATTAGTCGTTTCTGATTGTAGAAAGATATCTATGTTTGGTGTGATGGTTTGTACATGTAATCAACTAACAGTGAATTCAAATGTATATTCACATCCACATGTGGCTAGATGCTTTACACTGGATGTTGGTGAAAATGAATATATCTAAATCGATGCAGGTAAATAGTGCTTTAATATTGATAGTGTCATATCTCATAATCATTACCCGGGCCCAGTTCCCACATTTCTGTTCTTGGTATTATTGCATTTGAGCAAATTTAACAAACTTCACATACGCATTTTTCCCTGGTATCAGCGCCGTTTTGTCAAGTTTTACAAGCGCATCAACAATCCTGAAAAAAGACATGGAGCGCATTCAAAATATTTTGACAACAAACATCTATATCCCTACAATGCATATTATAATGTATATGTATGTATAAATGATTGATTAATGAATTAAATAAGCATGTTATCGCGTCAAAACGACGTAATATCAGAACTGATGAGATATGAGTGGATTCGATGCATACACCAACGTTGCTAAAAAAGGTTCTCGATAGTGTGTGTGTGTGTGTGTGTGTGTGTTTGTGAGGATGTGTTGCGTGTACGTACATAAGTTCCACTCCACGGGTAACTGGGTGCTGATAGACTCTTCGGTGTAGGGTTTCCCGGGTGCGAAACATGTCGTACAGATTACTGGCATTCTGCAGTCAACACAAACATAACATGAATCAGGTCACATGTTCAGATGACCTTTTATGTGCAGCGTCTGTTTCAAGCTTTGTCCCAAAACTCAGTTGGTATTGGCACAGATGCCATCAGAGAGCAAAATCCGTTTGTCCTATCTTTAAGAGCATATGTAAAGACTGCAGTGTTAATGAGTATTAAGCGCTTTCCCGATACGTCACACTGAAAGAATAGAGCATAACAGCCAGGCCAGAGTATGTATTATTCGGTGTCACTTTCACTTTCGATGACTACGTATTTTGACTGGAACCGAGCGTGTAGGTTTAACGAGAGTTAATCATTATCTTTCCACCAATAATGGTGCCAGCAAACACAGTTTTGACATCACCAGAGACAGTGACATTTGAGACGCTGATTGTGTTGTCTACTGGCGATTTGGGCATTACGCGAGTGTCCGCTCGGCATGACGGGATTTTCATCAATAGGTGTCACTGTGGGGATTAAGTTTCTTGAAATTATGCTCTATATTTGTTTGTGCTGGTAGGTTTTCTATTGCAGAAATTGTTCACGGAATGGGTCGTTTTCCCCAGTTCTCAGCATTATTTAATTTGGCGGAGGATTATTGTCATTTAACGTCTTCGCGCCGAGTGATTTGTGAGTGGTTTCGATGTTTGAAGACTGGCGGCATCGCAGATGTTTTTCATAAGAGAAGAAAGTGTGTTTTTCACAATACTATATCAAACAAACAACTGATCGCAGGTTTAGGCATGCCTTGACTGTGTGTGCCAAGTAATTAAAGGGGGCCGCCATCTCAACAGATGTCGAGTGGAGACGTGAATACATACAACTTATACACCTGCAGAGGGCACAGAGAAGGATCAGCAACTTTAGACAACATTTTCGGCCTTGACGAGGAGTCTCACCAGACCTATTGTTCTCTTGTCTCGCGGACAGTTTATAAAATGGATTGTGCTCTCGACTTTATTATGCTCTTTGGAATATTATGTCCAGAGGGTCCGCACTGCTGCAGGGACTCGATCTCTACTTGGGTGTCACGCCCTCCATGTTCAGTTCAATTCTCCTCCCCTTTAATTTCAGCCGTGATCGTGAACATTGTAAGAGTGAGTGAGTGAGTGAGTGAGTGAGTGAGTGAGTGAGTGAGTGAGTGAGTGAGTGAGTGAGTGAGTGAGTGAGTGAGTGAGTGAGTGAGTGAGTGAGTGAGTGAGTGAGTGAGTGAGTGAGTGAGAGTGGTGAGTGAGTGAGTGAGTGAGTGAGTGAGTGAGTGAGTGAGTGAGTGAGTGAGTGAGTGAGCGAGCGAATTAAGCTTTATGCCACTTTTACCAATATCACGGCGGGGGACACCAGAGTTGCACTTCACACATTGTACCCATGTGGGGAATCAAACCCGGGGACGCATAAACCATTAGGCTACCCAACCACCCCGCGAGGCTGACGTGATGGGATAGCCGTTCCACTTTCGTTTTAGTGATCTCTCATTGTTGTTCATACATTACAATTGGAGACGTGAATACATACAACTTATACACCTGCAGAGGGCAGAGGGCACAGAGAAGGATCAGCAACTTTAGACAACATTTTCGGCCTTGACGAGGAGTCTCACCAGACCTATTGTTCTCTTGTCTCGCGGACAGTTTATAAAATGGATTGTGCTCTCGACTTTATTATGCTCTTTGGAATATTATGTCCAGAGGGTCCGCACTGCTGCAGGGACTCGATCTCTACTTGGGTGTCACGCCCTCCATGTTCAGTTCAATTCTCCTCCCCTTTAATTTCAGCCGTGATCGTGAACATTGTAAGAGTGAGTGAGTGAGTGAGTGAGTGAGTGAGTGAGTGAGTGAGTGAGTGAGTGAGTGAGTGAGTGAGTGAGTGAGTGAGTGAGTGAGTGAGTGAGTGAGTGAGTGAGTGAGTGAGTGAGTGAGTGAGTGAGTGAGTGAGTGAGTGAGTGAGTGAGTGAGTGAGTGAGTGAGTGAGTGAGTGAGTGAGCGAGCGAATTAAGCTTTATGCCACTTTTACCAATATCACGGCGGGGGACACCAGAGTTGCACTTCACACATTGTACCCATGTGGGGAATCAAACCCGGGGACGCATAAACCATTAGGCTACCCAACCACCCCGCGAGGCTGACGTGATGGGATAGCCGTTCCACTTTCGTTTTAGTGATCTCTCATTAATGTTCATACATTACAATTGGCTCATTTTTTTATATGTGTTTTGCAAACACTGATGCAAAACGGGGATAGAAGTGTGTCTAGTTCGTTTGGGGGTATTGCATTCATTTGGCGAATTATATTTTGGGGTTTTAAGAAAGTTGTCAAACAGTTTCAAATCATAGTTTCCTTGTGCAGAATCAAGCCATTGATCATGTCGTACTCAACAGCGACTAATCTTCCTCGGGCATCTTTAGGCTTTGTGTTTGTCGTATGCTTCCCATGCTCGACCATGGTGTTTCGATGACGAAAAGATGGTCACAGGGAATTTCAGATAATCTGCCTTCATCAAAGTCAAATTCAAATTCGGTACCATCAACCTACAACATGCAGTATCTGTTTGGCTGTTTCCAATTTGATCAATTAAAACTTTGTCTCGAACATCAGATGAAGACATGTTGTTTGTAAACACCTGCTCACGCGAACCAGGGAAAAACTCATACTTCCGATTATGTAATTTGCATACTTATGTCTTTAGGGTATGACATAAGTGGGGTTTTATGTCATAAGCTTCTGTCGAGGATAGATACAGATGTGGATAACCGGGAATCAGTCCGAGAAAGAACAACCAGGTCATGTGAGGTGAGGGAGATACGATCCTTATCCTGTTATAAGTAACATGTGTAATGGCATACTGAATAATTTTTTTTCCGGACTGGGTGAGTTATATATATGACATAAAGTGCCGTTACTAGACCTTATATATGCTTATATGTGCCTAGACGAAAATATTAGATTGTGGAAATGCAGGAATCTTGACAGAAACTTACTTTGTCTCTTGTACAGATCCGTCGACCTTCCCCGTCGACGTCGATGATACGAGCCATCTCCATGTACCTGTCGTGGTCGAAGTTGTTTTTCATGCCCACCATGTGACAGTCACGCGCGAAGTAATCCCACTTGTCCACGTCAATTCCTGTTCTGGAGTTGGCTACAATCTGGCGAGAAATGTGTTTGTGATACACTAATGTTTAAACACATTTCCAAGATTGAAACATCCATTGCACTTGCAGGCACAATATGTGGCATGTTTGCCAATGTCCCGGACGTGTAATATTATTAATGTTTGCTAAATGTATTAACAAACTAAAATCAACCATCCGAGCAACGATATGTTCGTGCTGTTTGAACATTGATGTAGTAATACATACTTACTTCATAAAGGTATGGTTTGTTACTTCTCATTTTAATCACCCTTGGATCAGTCACATGCTTCTGTAAAACAGCATCGTAAAACATAATCACAAGGGATAAACTACTACCCATCCATCGTTATATTTAAGGTAAAGTTAAATGTTATCAGACCACAGACCACAGACTACTATCGGCGAACACAGACCACGGAGATGGTAATAAGTACAGTCTGGTATATTTTTGCTCTATATTGTACAACAATAATGTGCATCTTATGTGTTTGGTAGACACATGGGTACTTTGATGTTTATCCTACAAGCATAACAGAGTTTTAATCCTTTTATATCCTACTTCTCAATGGCTTATTACTTAACTGTTTCTTTTCCACCTAATATGAGGTCTTTAACCAGCTCGAGACAACTCCAGTCTTTGCCAAGCTCGTCAAAGGCACTCTTCACATGGCCATTTTCTTCAAGTAGGTGTTCCAGCATCATCACTGACGCATCTTCATGCTGAAATCATTGATTGTAAATCAAATAAACGAAATCAGCTTTGTCAGTTTCGCCCATTTGATGTGTTAAACACGGCAACAATAACTGTCATCTGTAACACAACTGACGACTGTTTGAGTACTGTGCAGTCGACTAGTGGGTGGGATGTGGTCAGGAAGTACGTATAAATTGTTTGCGAATTGCTCTCTCATCATTGTGTTGACATTATGTCTGTTACATTTTGTTTTACTACTCTTTGTAAAACATTTACATTGAATGAATAATTTTTCGACCTTCCCATCACATACAACAGAATGGTGATGGTGATGGCCTCTTGAAACTCCCATAAAAAAAAACTGTCCTCACGAGAGAGGAATGCTGGGTTAGGGCGTTTGAGCATAAATGTACTCAACATAATGTATATACCTTCCACTTGCTGTCTGGCTTTACCCGAGGTATGAACATGTTGTCAAAAACGTGTGAGAATGGGCCGTGTCCTAAAAGAAGAAGACACATATGTAGTCCACAACCTCTTTTCTTGTCGTCATGATTAACTCAACCGCATTGTACTTTATTGTCTTTGGCCATTGCAATAGTCGTTTAAGGGGTCATAGAGCAAACCAATGCAGTAACTTTCTTTATACATTCATAAGATTATTGTTTCAAAATATATCAAAGTGCACCTAACTTGTATCTGTTTAATGTATTCAGCAATACAATATTCGGTGTACACCTTCTTATCATAACACCCCCACTCCTGGTCGAGTTCTTTGCTTAACCTTGGGGCAAATCCTATCTCCAGTGTGGTTGGCCTCATGACCGGAGGATGGTTGACTGAACTGCGGAGTTGAGAGATGGTTTGCTCCTTGTCTTTCGGTAACCCAGTAGTTTCTCAGCTTCAGGGGATCAGTCCTAACTGGGCGATGTTCGTTTAGTTCAGGGAATAAAAAGTCCCTATCAAGGCCCACCATGGACAGACTCATTGTAAGGCTCATCATCAGCTGAGGACCCTTGCCCCCCTCTACACGCAGCCCAGAGTAACAAATGGGACTTCTCCCTGGAAGCGCCTAGTCGAACCTACCATGAACGTTCCGGAGAATATGAAGGCTCCCCAACATCGTGTCGTTTAAAGTAAGGTGTTGGACAGTTTCTGCAAATTCATTGCAAAGTCGACACTTCACGTTGATATGTTCTTTACGAATCACATTTTGGCGTTTCTGAGTGGCATGTGACTGGTCATCAATAAGGAAGCCTCAGTTTCACATTTAATACCAACCGACTTCATCCAGGCGAAGGAATAGGTTGGTTTGCTATTCTGTTCGCACATAGCAGTAGGTGCTACGAGTGTACAATCCACCGCCTCGCCACGTGGTAAGGAGTCGTGGTAAGAGAGAGAGGGAGAGAGAGAGAGGGTGGGTGGTGGGGGGTGGGTGGTGTGTGGTGTTAGCGAGTAGGCAGAAAGAAAACGGCATGTTCAAACTGTGAAACAGCCAGCCATTTTGTCAAAAACATTTCATTATCTTTATCAAATGAACTTTACCATTTATTACTATGTATACCAATTAATTGTTCTCGTCAGGATATGGCCGAAATATTGCCGTTGTGACGATAAATTTTAACTCACTTACTCACTCTTTATCAAATGTATGTTTTTCAGCATCATTATAACTTTATAACTTTTTTGGGAATTGGTTTAAATTTAATTCTTTGGGATTGCATTTACATTTGTAAATGTATTGTTTATGGTTGTGAATTACTAATTGACAAGATTGCTTCCATTGGGGTCACCTAGATGAAATCATTACTACGACTGGTTTCATTTTCATGATTTCTGATTGACTTGGAAGCATTTTGACATTTGCTCTTGCGTAATAGCTCAACGCTGACTTTTGTCTTCCATCATGACCCGCCAACCGAGGGCAAAATGAACGCTCTTGGGCAAAGGTATGTGTGGTTCAGAAATAATCAAGCTTTTCATGCAATTACAAATTGCTACTTACCGAGATCATGGCAAAGTCCTGCTATTTCAATACACTTGATTTCATCTTTTCCAAAAGTTGTAGGTTGTTTCCATTCCAGAATCTGAGCAAATTTCCCTGCGAGATGGTAAGTCCTGTATTAATATAAAAGGGAAGACGTCTTAGCAAACAGAAATAATGTTAATATGTTTGTACTGTGTACGGCAAGAATTTATGTCACGGGAATAAAGGAGCACTATTTTTTACATTAATTCACGTCTTGAACTGTTCCCTTAATGACGAGTATCAGGCATTCTACTTTTGCCAATGTCGCAATACTATTTACCCGATGCTGTGTTCAAATCTGTTGTGTGTTGCGCCCGGATATACAAAGTAACCTCCTCCGAGCTGCTTCAAATACCTCAACCTCTGAAACTGTGGGGTGTCTATTATCTTCATACACAGACCCGACACTCTTATAGTCCCATGAATAGGGTCGTTGAAAATCTGATAAAGACATGAAATGGAATGAATCGATTCCTTCGGTTTAAAAGTGTATTCTTCTCTGTATCTGCAAATGCGTTCACGAATGTACAATGAGATAACAACATGGATCTGGTTTATATTTATTCGCCATTCGCTGACATATCAAAGAAATGGACGCTAATTTGTCTGACGTTAAGATGCTTACCTTTAACAGTGGATCGGAATCAGAATCACTTCTGTGGACAAAAACGTTCATTGATATATATATTCTACTAGCTCATTTAGTCATCGGTACGATTTTGAAAATAATGTCACCTCCTATATCATAGAATTACAACATCCTGACTCATGCTCAGTTAAGTAACGCAATGTTGGTAATTTAATATAAGCCACACTGGATGAAAATATTTCAACACCAAGATAATTCTATCCTCTGAACAAACTGTCCTTCGTCGGCAGGTTTTTATAATAACTATATATATTCTATTACAATGTCAAATGTTCTCGTCACGATATGGCTGAAATATTGCCGATGTGACGTTAAATAATAACTCACTCACTCACTCACTGGATAATAATAAATTCCCACCTCGAATAAAGAATCAGTTAAGTGATAGAGCGTGTGCGCATGCACTGAGATAATAAAAATATACTTATGGAACGATTTAAGTACCCCAAATTTCACCATATTGATGTAGCTATCGATGATGATGATGATATGTCGATGATGCCATTGTTAAGTAGCAAATTTCAGGTTATGAAAACCAAGGTTTCAGTTTGAAACAGTTTGCCAAAACGCAGCTTACATTGTACATGCACGTGAAGGATGCTACCCACTCATTTCCCCACTAGCCATTCAATTTGTGAATATGCTATCCTGTTCATCCATACACATTTTGAGGAGATTATCATTGGGGTCGAAATGGCAGAAAGTGGACATGTCATGCAGCTGGAATGTCATTTAAGGCCCTCGGGCGTCGCTTCGTTTCTGCCACTCTGCCACTCTGTCAGTAGACATACCCGGAAGCCCCAATAAACAAGCGCTGTCACGTGATGTGTGAATCTTTCGCCAAAAGCACTCGTCTTAAACACCTCTGGGTGCCCAACAGACGTTTGCAAACCAGGAGTCCAGGCCCGCGTTTCACAAAAGCCTCCTAACTTTAGGAGGTCGTAGCCCCTACGACCTTGTTTACGACCCTCTTCCGACCTTCTTTACGACCGTTTCACAAAGACGTCGTATACATGTCGTACTACGCGGTCCTAAATCCATGTCGTACATCGTATAAGAGGTACTATGTTGCATAGCAACGCATAAAGCGAGACCGTTGTAGCAAGAAACAACAATCCGTTAACCTTATGTCAATCAATTCGTTTGTCGGTGTTCCAGTATCAGTCCTGGAACACAGAACTCTCAGTACCAGCAAAGGAATAATACGTGATCGAGATCAATTGTTCACAGACATGACTGAAAGTGAAATAGCATTTGAAATGAAAGATCAAGATGTGTTCAACTAATTAACACTTATCTCTTTTCCTTTTCAGCACCAATCGCCCCACCCCCACCCCCACCCCACCCCCCAATCAGGCTACTGCAACGTTGACATTTTGTATTCCAAATCCCTTAAGATGATTCAAATGTCAAAATGTCAAAAGTATGGCCATGGTGTCAATTCCTGTACAAGACCTGTGACATGTGCACACTGCAGCGAGCAGACTCTACTGAACACTGTGACAACGATAAAAACAATGTACAAATTGTTCAGGCAGCCACTCATCCTTTTTCAAAACACTGTCCCATCTGGAAACTACAGATGGACATAATGGTACTCAAACTCAAACTCAACATAATGGTAAACCATCAAAACCTAAACCAAGATCCGAATCGTCAAAAGGACAGCAAAATGCGAGAATTTCAAAAGGGTCAAATAACCAAATCCAACTTTTCAATAAGTTTGGATCACTTGAAAAATGGATGTTATGGAAAACCTCTAGCCGAGGGCAAACAGCGTGTCGCCCTCAAGGGAAGGTGCGGGTAGATCCCAAATCAATCTACCCAAAAATAATGTTTTTAAATAATCTTAAACAGTGGAATTGTCGAGGTCTGAGGACCAACTTTAATGAAATACACCTATTGGTGCAAGATTTTAAACCATCAGCATTCTGCCTGCAACAAACTTACCTAGAGCAGAAAACTATAGTTTTCCGTCAGTTCCAAGCATACCATTCTTTTTCTCCTCCGGGTGATCGGGCCACTGGAGGATCTTCAATCCTTGTGAGGCAAGATGTTATCCACAGCCCTGTTGTGCTTAGGACTAATCTTCAAGCTGTTGCTGTGCATCTTACTCTTCGCGTTGTTTTCACTCTGTGTTCACGATATATTCCACCATCTGCAGCTCTTCAGCAAGCTGATATTCAAAATCTCTATGATCAGCTTCCCAAACCATGTATTATCATGGGGAATTTGAATGGTCACAATCCACTCTGGGGGAGGTATAAATACTAATACTAAAGGTAAAGTTCTGGAGGAGTTCATCATTAATAACGGCCTGTGTATATTTAATGATGATTCCCATACTTATTTGCATCCTGCTACTCACACCTACTCTTCTCTGGATTTGTCTCTAACTGATGCTAACCTTCTAAACGACTTTGAATGGTCAGTACATAATGACCTTTGTGGCAGTGACCATTTCCCAACCATACTTTCAGCAGTAAATCCATCTGATACTCCACCTTATACAAGACGGAATTTCACAAAGGCAAACTGGTCGATGTTTCAAACTCTATGCACAAGTAAACTCAAACCTGAAACCCATTCAGGTTTTCTCTGATGTTTTGAATGAAATAGCTGATGATATATTCCAAAGTCCTCAATCAATCCACATATAAAAAAAAACATGATTTAACTCGAATTGTAGGCAAGCTCGGAAAGAAGGAAAAGGGCTGAACATTACTTCCGCCATCACCCAACTGGCCATAATCTAAATACATTTATAAAATTAAATGCAAAAGCTTGTATAACGTTCAAACAAAATGAGCGTATTTATTGGCGAAACTGTGTTTCTGGAATATATTCACGAACACCAATGTCTAAAGTTTGGAATATGGTGCAAAGAATAAAAGGTAAAGGTTTCCAAATCCAGTGTTCACCATCTTCAGGAGGGTGACACATTACTGACTGATAAAGTTGAAATATCAAATAAACTAGGGGAAACTCTAGCAACACATTCTTCTTCATCAAACTATATACCGAAATTTCAAAAATATAAAGAACACCAAGAAAAAAAGAATATTACTTTGACTCTGAAAATGGTGAAGATTATAATGAAGTCTTTTTCATTCATGAGCTACATACTGCTTTAGGGCAAGCTCTCGATCCTGCAACAGGTGCTGATAACATTCATTATCTGTTACTTAAACATTTACCTGATTCCTCTTTAGAAACACTTTTAAATATATTTTATCAGATTTGGACAACGGGTCATTTCCCTTCATCCTGGCGAATTGCTGTTGTAATCCCAGTTCCTAAACCTGGTCGCGATCACTCAGATGCTTCCAATTACAGGCCTATATGACTTACAAGTTGTGTTTGAAAAGGCACCCATGAAGGGCCACCTCCTCGTGGTGGGTGCTGGGTAATGCTAAGCGCTCTCCAACCCCCCGTTGTGGACCCGGGGGCATATTTGGTCCACCAACCCGTTTGCCGTGGGTTGCGCCCCTGTGTCGGTGGAGGACGGGATTCTGGTGGTTGAGGGCACTGGTTCCAGGAACAGTGTTCCTTTGCCCAATACACCACTTCGACCCTTACTTCACCTAGACGGGTGGTAGAATCGGCCCGATTCTATCAATCGGCTGGTCACGCCGTGCCCTGTGCGTAGAGATTATTTTTGCACATATTCAACATAATATTTGGTCTTGGCTGTTTACATTCAACTTGCATGTATATATATATCTATATCTATATATTTGTATCTATGAAATTGCCTAGAGTCCTATGCCAGAAGGCGGTGGCTCATGGGCCAATCTGGCAATTTTGACCTCCAGGTTCTGTTTGTCTTCAGGGATCTGTCTAGGGCCGGACCAGCCTGACTTATACCCTGTTTGGCAAGAATAGCTACCTGTGTTTATTTTGCTGGAGTATAGCATCCCTGTAACCCTGGTGTTTGTAGTTGGCTTCCACTACAACACCGTTCTTGTTGACACTCCATGGTGGGTGGGGAGCAGGGATGTCGAATATTTTCCTTCATCATGGCTACCCCACAATTAACTGGTTCTAGATCCAAAACTAAGAGAAGGCATGTCGATAGTGATACTGTTAATTCTTCGGATGATGAATTCGTACACAGTCCTGATTACTGGCCCCTTTTTCTGGTTGTAGAAGGTGTTGATGGTGAATCCCTCAAAATCAACCCTTTTGTTGTATCCAAATCAATTGAAGGCATTTGTGGCAACGTGAAGAATGTCACCCGTCTCCGCTCCGGTTCCTTGCTAGTGGAATGTGCACGGAGACAACAGTCTCTAAATCTGCTCAAGGCCCATCAATTTGCAAATACTGAGATTGTTGTCTCAGTGCACAAAACCTTAAATTCATGTAGAGGCATTGTGCGTGACTGTGCGAAGTGTCTCTCAGACATGAGTGAGGAGGAAATTGCAGCGGAGTTGAAGAATCAAGGTGTAACATCAGTGAAAAGGTTCACTAGGAAAGATGGTGACAGAATTATAAAACAAACACCTACCTTTTCACATTTGCACTTTCGAAAATCCCTTCTTCTATCAAAGCCGGTATTTCAACATCGGAGTGGATGTGTATATACCAAATCCACTCCGGTGTTTCAACTGTCAACAGTTTGGTCATGGAGCAAAATCTTGCCGTAACTCCCAAGTTTGCTCCCGCTGCAGTAAGAAACATGACAGCACAGACTGCACAGATATCATCAAATGTGCAAACTGCAGCGGCGACCACATGTCATTTTCAAAATCATGCCCGTGTTATGTGAAACAAAACAAAATCCTCGCAATCAAGTACACTAAAGACATTTCATTTATAGAAGCTAAGAAATTAATAGAGAAGGAGTCCACTTCCACTTCTGCACTGTCATACTCTGCTGCTGTTTCCTCTTCACCTCCAAAGGTTGATCAGGGATGCCAAACAGCAGTTACCTGGATCACTAATGTTCAGAATATTCTTTACGATGTTGAGGCTGGAGCTATGTCTTCTTCTTCTTCGTCCACATCA